TGGAGGTTAAAGTTGTGGTATTTCCACATGTAGGTAAAACATCTTTTTATTTATTTTCCAAAAGATTTTTTTTGTTTGTTTTAAAATTGCTACAGAGCATGTGCACTCAACAGAGAGAGAGGGAGAGAAAGAAACCATTCCCCAGTACAATCCCTTCTCTTCCATTTCTCCATTCTGTTGAGATTTGGGTTATGCACATACATGTGCCTGGAATGTTTTTCAAGCCACCAGGCTGAGACTTGAAACACAGTAACCCATGTGGGAGCTGGCTTCCCTTACCCATTAGATTATGGGCCTGGCCCAGATTACCTTTTTTTTTTTTTTTTTTTTTTAAGGACTTCGCTATAGGACTTGGGTAATCTATGAAGAGATAGAAAGAGTAAAGACCCCTCGGGGGTAATGGCCATGCCATAATCTCTTCTCCTCCATTCTTCTCTGGGGATTTTGGGCTTGCATGCATATGCACCCAGTGTGAATTTCAAGTTACCAGTCTGGAACTTGAACCACAATTGGTCACATGAGAATCCAGCGCCTTCACTATTCCACTGCTGGTCCCAATTACTGCTGTTTTTTAAAAGACCTTTTTGTTAGGAAAATTCCAAACATATACAGTTTAATGATTGTTTCTTTGTCTTTGAAGTCCAGTGATGTTAATAAGATATGGTTTTGTTTTTTGTTTTTTGTTTCTTTTTGAGAAAGATTTTTGCTATAGGGTGCATGTGCTTGCCAGAGAGACAGAGGCAGAGAGTGAGAAATCACCACCTGGATGGATGGCCATGCTGCAATCCCTTCTCCTCTATTCTCCTCTCAGGATTTGGGGACACATTAACATGCACCTAGTGTGAGTTTCAAGCTGCTGGATCTGGGACTTAAACCACAGTCAATTACATGGAAGTCTAGCAACATAACCAATAAGCCATTTGCTGGTCTCAATGTGTTTCAATACTGATTTTTCTCTATTAGTTTTTCTTTGTACATGGTATGGTATGTTCTTTTACCCTATAGACTCATTACATTGATTAAATCTTTTTTTTATTTTATGTTATTTATTTATTTACTTTTAATTTCTCCAGAGAGAGACAGAATGAGAAAATGACAGAGAGAGGGAATGTGAGAAAGCAAGCCTCTAGGTCTGGGATTTGAACTGTGGTTGGCCATGTGGGAGTCCAGCACCTTAACCATTATGCAATCTGCAGGCCCACATTAATTAAATTTTTAAATGTTTTCCTTTTCCATTGATTTAGTCACTTACGTATGTAAAGCAATTATTTACATGTTACTTCTCTTCCATGTCTGTTTTTTTTTTCCTTAAAATGTTTATTAACCCTTTGTGTGGTCTGTTTTTCTCATTCCTGACCTCCCTTTCCTTTAATGTGTTTTAAATGACAGTTCTTCTTTGTGTTACTTCCTGTGCAATTCTTCATTAACATGATGATTCTATTTTATTTTTCTCATTATCTCTACTAGCTCTTGTTTCCCCAGCTTCTGTTCTTGATCATTTCAAGAGTTTCTGTCTTTTCATAGCAATTTATTTGAGGTGATCATTTTTGGGAAATGGCCAAACTTTAATATGCCATATTTTTTAAAAAGAATTATTTATTTAATTTTATTTACCATTAATATTATTTTAGTTTTCTATAGAGCGCATGTATTCATCAGAGAAAAACAGAGAGAGAAAAGCAAGCTGCCAGGATGAGGACTTGAACCATAGTCATCTATGTGGGAGTCCAAAGCTTTTAACCCTACTACACCACCTGCTCTCCCCTTGATATGCTATCTTAAATTCAAAATTGCAATAGTTTTCTCACACCTTATATTTATGTCTTCTAATTCTGGTTAAAAAAAGAATAGACTGGGTTGTCAAAAATGTCATGACATATTTTACATAAAAAAAAAAGTCATGACTTTTCTGACAGCCAGATACATTGCTGTGTTTTATTTAGATTAATGCTTTCTTTGCCTCTTCAAATATCCACTTTGATTTTTCTCTGCACTTTGTGGACATCACCTGAGATCTTACCTGAAAGATTTTCTAAGCTCTGGCATTGATAGATAACTTTTTCCCTGTGAAATTCTAATACAGAGAGGATATTTGTTTCTTTTGACTGACTTACTGCTTACATATACCTGCTCTAACAAGCAAACCCCAAAATGTGTCACAGCACACATAAATGAAAGTTTATTGCCATTCATTTAAAGTATAGGACAAACGTGTCATGATAGGCAAATAGCTCCACAAAAAGCAGTGATATTAGAACCAGAATCTACTATCTACCTGGTTTCCAAGGTGCTTCCACATCAAGCCAGCAAAGGGGGAACAGCATGCAGAAGTAGGCAGATGAGATTTCATAGGCCTACTGTCTGGTAGAAATATATCCCTTCTCCTACTATTCTATTATTTAGTACTAGTAGGAAGTAATTCTATGCAATGTAGTCTAGCTGTGTGGTCAGGAAATGGAGAAGGAAAAAGCTAACGGTGTGGTAAATGGCTACCTGCTCTATTGTTCTCTCTAGCATGTCTCTCCTAAATGAGTGGCCAAGGGAACTTGAGAATTTCTAATCTACTTAGACTTTTCATTCATTCAACAAATGAATATATACTCATACCATGACTTTATCAACTGGAGTTCTCTTAACACCTACCACAGAAAAGATATTTATTTTTTGAGAAGAAGATAGGGTGCAATTAGCTTTATTTGTATAATTAAAAAAATTTATTTATTTTTCAGTTTGTTATAGGGTATGTGTGTCTACAAGAGAGAGAAAGATTTAGGAGGGGAAGAGAGAGGTGGCCATGCCATAATCCTTTTTCCTCCATTTTCCTCTCTGGATTTTGAACATACATGCATACATACTCAGCATGTGTTTTAAACCTCCAGGTCTGGGACTTGAACCACTCCATTGGCCATGTGAGATCCAGCCACCTTAACCTCCATGCCACCTGCTGGTCATATTTATATAAATGTTTAAATGTTTATTCTTCCATGAGAGAAAGACCCTGAGAAAGAGAAAGAGAGAGGCATTCCCAATACTGTCTTTATACCACAATCCATCTCCAATCTCAGCTAGCCAGGATCATGAACATGTGCATATCCACCTGCTGTGTACAGGGAGACCCGGGACATGAGGCCAGAACTTTCCCATGCAACCTCAGTATCATAGAGCATTATGTTACTATTGTGATACTGCTGTGCTTACTCAAATAAATTTTAAAGTGGGGAATTATAAATGATTTTATTTAACACTTTTGTGGATTTTCTATAATCTTTAAAACAAGAAATCTTAAAAAATTTTATTGAGAAAAGTTGTTTAATATCAATTATTCTTTTAAACTATGAAATCCACATTGATTTTTATAGCCAAGTGAAGAGTGTTTAGGACCTCTCCTCACCACCTTTCCCCACTAAAATATGTCAACAAAACTTATTTCCTTACTACATAGGGAATAAAAAAGAGTTTTCATTGTTTTAGCTAAGCTATTTTACTAAACCATCTACACAACTTGAATTTGTGGTGTAAATAGCCTCTTCTTTCTCTTTATACTGCCCATGTACAAGTAGCTCAGAAGAAAATTATTTTTATCATGCCACTTGAGAGTGAGAGCAGTCTTCAGCAGGTCATACTTGAAAACAGAGAAGCCATTGTGTCCCAGGGGCTCTTTGTACAGGAAGAGGATGTAGAAGGGACTGAGCCACTTCAGAACTGTTCCTGAGACTCTTGGATGTCCTTGACTCCCATTGTAACCCTATTGTTCAGCTTCCTCAGACGCCCTTTCCTTTTCTGTCCTTTTACTTTATACTAAATGTGCTTGTGAGCTACATGCCAACCTTTTCCTTTAGTGACATGCTTTAGACACAGCATTGTTTTTGAGCTAGGCCTGGTAGTAGAGTTTTATTATTTTTTAGTATTAGTTTAATGGCAGTATTTATTAAAACCAGAGAATATTAGAGAGAACAAATTCATGAAAGTTTCTAAATCTTGACCTTAAGTATTAGAGCTACCTATTGGGAAACAATGGTGGTTCTTTTACTAGTTCTTTTTTATTTATTTACATACATTTTTCTATTTTCACCCTCATTATAACCCTGTGAGTTAAGGATATTATCGTAGATTTAACAGATGATAAAACTGAAAGGTAGGAATACATGGTATAAGCTTTCTATAATCCCTCATTTAGTAGGAGAAAGGTAGGACTCAATGTCAAGTCAGTGGCTGCCATCCTGATCAGGTTCTTTGCTGTAAAGTGAATGAGCACAACTTTACTACAAGAAGAGCAACATGTTTTCTTCATTCTTACTGAAGTATTGAACCCCTGATTCAGGGTTTTAGAAACCGTCTCCATCATTATTTAGACTTTCTATAGTACTGACTAACATAATGGTGGTTTTTGATGAGACTGACAATATACTGGTTAGGTAATTATGTTTTATTGTTGTCTAACTTAATAGAGACAAGCAATTGTGTTTTCTGGTTCTTCTGGGCCCATTTTTTATGATGGACTGAGCCCTGAAGCTAAGAAAGTATAAGTACTTTTTTCTATTGTGTGTGGTTTTTAGGTAGCACTAGGAGAAGAAGTTGGAATTAGCCTAGTTTAAATTCCTATCTTGGACACTGCCCACGACTGGGAGGGGTTCACTGGCTAGAGAAAGGCTACAGGCCAAGAGAGGACAACTTGGTGAAACACAGGAATTCTGACTGTGATATTGGCTCCAGACCATAGGACATATTTCCTGTTGCCTTCTTTTCCATGGGAGACCTATTGCTACCCAATTAGGCTTTCTTTACAACAGCATGAACCTTTGCAGTTGGATAAAGTGATTGGACCCCAGAGGGCTTCAGGCTCTTGGTGTCTTTTATGCTGAGCAGCAGACCCCATGAGGACTTAGTGTATTAATTGTAATAATTAAAATAAAGAGCAGTGTCCTTCATGGCAGCTAAATGAAATTTGTGGCAGCTCAGCCTGCTGTTTCTTAAATTTTTATAACCTCTTCTTTTTCTAGGGCGACAGAGAAGCAGAACTGGGGCTGCCGTTTTCTCCTCTGTGTGACCGCAAGTCCACCATGGTTGCTCAGTCACAAGTAGGTATGTGTCTGTTAGCCCTTGGGACAGAAGGAAACACCAGAGCAAGAAGCCTATAGAAGTAAGCTCAGATGATCTCTGTGATTCTTTGTCTGGAAAATACTCTACTCAGCCATGTTGTGCTTCTGGCTTTTGCTGACTGGGTTAATGGAGTCTCTTCTTTCTGGAATATGGCTGATTTATGGGAAGATAAGATAATGACACTCTGGTGTCTCCAAAATTTTGTGCCAAGAGAAGAAGGAACCTCAACTTCCAAGGAGATGAGTATCGTTGGCTGGAAGCCCATGTTACTGTAGCTTCTCCATTCTGTATAAAATACTGGTGGTCATCACAGCATTTCTCCCACTGATGAGTCTTCTAGCTCTATTGTTAGGACAGTCCTACTTCCTGCATATTCAAAGAATAGCTCTTTTTAAAAGTTTTCTTCTTCTCTCCACCCCTTTCTTTTTGCCTTTTTTTTAAGAGATATTTTTGCTATAGGGCATGTGTGCTCGCCAGATAGAGACAGAAAAGCAGAAAGTGAGTAATCACCCCCCACCAGGGGAGGGCCATGCCACAGTCTCTTCTCTTCCATTCTCCTCTCGGTATTTTGGTTACACACACATACACGCCCAGTGTGAGTTTTAAGCTGCCGGGTCCAGGATTCCAACTGTGCTTGACTACGTGGCAGTCCAGCTATGTAACCATTATGCCATCTGCTGGTCCCTCTTTTTGCTTTTTCAAGCACTTTCTTTTTGGTAAAGATATCCTTTGTACTACAAATAATTAAAATATATGTATTGCAAAACTCTGTAGTCATGGGAGAGAGCACTAATGACATATAAAAATTAAATGTCATCAGTGGTATCTACCTAGGAAGAGTTTGAAATTATTCAAATATAAATTCAGTAAGGATTTATTGATTTTTCTACTTGTGTAGTGAGTACTTATTAATTTTTTTCTATATTAAACGTTTGGTCCACATTAAGTGTTAGGCATTGATAAACATTGTAATAGATGCTTAAAAAAGTAAAAAAAGAATTATAGACAAGACTTGTTCTCAAAGATATTAAAGCAGTACCGGGTGATAGGCAAGATATTATGGAAACAAAAATCTACTATTGGGTCACTGGAAAAGCCATGACACACTTTTGTATAGAAAAATATAGAAACATACATCATGACTTTTCTGATGACCCAAATTTTGTATATGGTACAATGGACTGCAAAATAAAGTATGTGATCCATTAGACCAGGTAGTCCAGAAAGACTTATTGAGGGATAATATTTTATTTGAGTCCTAGGAAGTGAGTTGGTATTGTCTAGGTATGCATTAGTGATAAGTTACAGATGGGTAGAAGGGCATTCCAGACCAGGAATATAGCATATATAAAGCAGGGAAACAGGACTGTCTGGAATGGTCAGTAAATTCTGTCAGTTACATACGACTCTTGCACTGGGTAGGAAGAAGGATAAAGTGAGGGATATGGCCAGAGAGAAAATCAGGCCCAGACTTTCTGTCATGTTAAGATAGCACATGTTTATACTTTCCTGTAGGAAATATGGGCATATCTAGAGGATTAAGTAAGGTTGAAAACAGACACATTCATATTTTATCATATGAACTAAATATCACCACCTTTTCTTTTAAATAAAGATTTGTTATGGGACCAGCAGATGGCGTAATGGCTATGTCACTGGACTCTCATGTAGTCGATTGTGGTTCAAGTATTGGACCCGGTGGCTTAAACTCACACTGGGTGTGTGTATATGCATGCCCAAGATCCCGGGAGGAGAATGGAGGAGAAGGGATTGCAGCATAGCCATTCCCCTGGGGGGTGATTTCTCGCTTTCTGTCTCGCTGTCTTTCGACAGAGCGTGCTTGCACCCTATAGCAAAAAAACTCTCCAAAAATAAATAAATAAATAAAGATTTGTTACAACATAGCTAAACCCGTTCAGTTACACAGCATTGTCTGTGGCTGTTTTTGCACTACAATGGCAGAGTTAGGTAGTTTCCAAAGATATAATATGACTTTCAAAGCCTAAAATAGCTATCTGGCTGTTTACAGAAAAAGTTCACCAATTCCTATTTAATAAAGATTTCTCTGCCAGTAATATGAAGGACTAATCAGAGACGTAAGACTAGAGGCCCAGAAACCAGCTGAGTACCTCCTGCAGATGATATAGAAGGGTTGATGAATGTCAGAACTAAGGTACAACAGGAACTCTTCAGAAGAGAGGGGGGCTTGAAAGTGTTAAGGATTTGCCTGGATGTAAAACTAAGGTAAAGACAGGAATCTAGATTAAATGGTAGAATATAATCCTATTTAGTAGGATTATGGAGAAAGTTGATGAGTTAGTTCTGGTTTGGATGTACTGGGTTGAGATAAAAAGATGAGAGCAGTATTATCCAAAACTTCAGTTTCAGCTTTCAATTACACAGCAGTGAACTATAATACAAATTTGGAAATTAGTGTTGTATTATTAGGATCTTTTGGTAATTGATTTACACAATTTTTGTCAGTTATACTTTAGCACTTTTAGCATCCTTCACTGCTGCGTATTAAAGGCCAGTATCACATGTGTTTCAGCCATTGTGGAAACTGAATATACATTCACACATTTCCAAACACTGCCTTCAGCAAAGAGTGGGTAGTGTTTCCTCCTGTTGGTATTTAGTGTTTGTCCAACTTCCATGTGGCTGTGTAAAGAATTACCACTGTTCTCATTGGCTCCAGCTCATTTATTTTTGTCTGATGTGTCACAGAACACTCAAGTGTTCTTGCGCTGTTAGGTCTGACCCCATTTCCCAGTTCCCAACTGTTTTTTCCAATTCTAATAGCCCTCATCCATCTCAGTGTGCCCCAGTACCTCCAAGTAGAACTAAAACCAAGCTCATCATCTTTCTACAACCCCACTCTTCCCACCATTTTCCCTGCTTTCCCTGCTTTGCTGTTGATGTCTTTCACAGATCCCAACTGGAGGCAGTACCACCTCCTGCTGTGCAGGTGTTTGTGCCTCCTTTGATTGCTGCCTAACAGAGGCTCTGGTTCAGGCCTTCCTTACCTTTTGTTTGAGCTATTGCAATTGCTTCTAAAATGATTTTCCCATTCTTATCCCCTCCTACTGCTCTCTTGGCATCTGTACTGCCAGATTAACTTTCCCAAAGAACATTTAAAAACCTTTTTAAAAAAAAAAAAAAAAAAAGTAGTGTTACTTAGCTTTATTTATTTATTTATTTAAATTTGACCAGAAAGGGACAGAATAAGAGAGAGGGAAAGTGAGAAAGCAAGCTGCCAGGTTTGGGACTCCAACTGTTATCAGCCATGTGTGAGTCTAGCACCTTAACCATCATGCCACCTGCTGACGCCTAAAAACTCTTCTTACAGGGCCTGGTAGGTGGCATGGTGGTTAAAGCACTGGATTCCCACATGGCAGAACATGGTTTGAGTGCTGGCAGTTTATTATCAGGCCAGGCACATGTATGTGCATGCCCTAAATCCCAGAAGGAGAATGGAGGTGAAAGGATTGTAGCATGGCCATCACCCCTGGGATTGAATTCTCACTTTCAATCTCTGTTTTTCTGTCTCTCCAGCTTTTTGTGCCCTATGGCAAAAAGCCTTAAAGATAATTGTAAAATTTAAAAATAAAATAAAAACTCTTCTTGCAATGCTACCCAAACATCTCCAGGGGCATCTAGTGCCTATCTAATTTCCATCCCTTAGCCCAACACTTAGGAGCCTCTTCTCTGAGCTATAAGTGACCTGCCTTCCTAAGCTTTCACTCCCTGGGTCTAAACGGATCTTTAGACACATCCTGCATTTTTTTTCATCTGTCTGTTCACTTATATTCCATCACTCCCCTCAACACAAATAACCACATCTTCTTCTCCACCCATTCTTAAGGGTTCATATCAAACATCCTAACCTCCAAGAAGCTGTTCACAGACTCTCAGTGAGAGAGAAATATCATCCCTGCCACTGAAATGGAGGGGTCATTCTTGTGCCTGTTTAATCTCTCCTATAAATTTCTTAAGGATAAACCAGTTATCTTACTCATCTTAGCCTTCTATGCTGTTCTTGTTGCATTACTAGTTACATGGCAGGCACTGAATATATATTTTTAAGCACTTTATTGATCTATCTACTGAAAAGTCTTAGCAAGGTTATGTAGGAGAAATAGAACTGACTTAATGATATCAAATCAAGGGATATATTAAATGAATGAGATCAGTCAACTCTTAATTTGATCTGGAGCTCTTGTATAGATGAACTTTATATAGGTAAGAAAGATTCATCAGTTTCCACTAGAAAATATGGAAAAGGCCTAAGTTAATATGTAGTCCTCTGAAGTATTTTGCTGTTTCTCTTCAGGTTTTATTGATTTCATTGTGGAGCCCACCTTCACTGTGCTCACAGACATGACTGAAAAGATTGTGAGTCCATTAATTGATGAGAGTTCCCAAACTGGTGGGACAGGACAGAGGCGTTCCAGGTCAGTGGAGAAGCTCAAGGGCTGGAGGTTGGTCTGGCATTTAGGACAGAGGTGGGGTTGGGACATTATTTCTTAAAGATGTTTGCTTTAATCCCTTCTGATCTTCTTTATCCCCTTATCTGTCTACATCTTTTTGTTTTTTCCTCAGAAAAGTCAAAATTATACTCCCTGTATTGTCCCGGCTGACCTACATAAGGGGTGACCAAGGTCCAGATCATGACCCACAGATACCTGGTGCTGGCCTCCAGCCCATTCTCATTCTCTTTGGGCTTTGCTTACAGCTGAACCAGTGCTATACTTTTACCTGCTTTGCCCAGATCCCCCTTGCTTCTGATACCCCCACAAAGGAGTACCACAGATTAGATTATAAAACAGAAATGAAACTGACTTTCATTTCTAGGTTCAGGAAGAGAGTAAAGTAGAGACAAAAAGGAAACACTTTAAATCCCATTTACCATATCATCATATCAAGTGTAGGGTAGTAAAGAGTACAGGCTGTGCAGTCAGATCTCAAGGTTTAAATAGCCTCATCTCCATCACTTTTTAGCTATGCCATCTCAGGTAGGTTGCCTCATTTTCCTTATCTAGAAGACATGGATTATAATACAAACATGCTGCTGGGAAGATTAAATGAGCTCTTCAGCACATATAAACCTTCTAGAACAAGATATAGCACAGAAAAAATGCTAACTAAAAGAAGACTGACAATTAGTTTTTTTAAAAACAATGTTTACTAATGGGCCAGCAGATGGTATGGTGGATAAGGTACTGGATCTCACATGGCTGACTCTACAATGAGAGTCCCAGCCTGGCAGCTTGAAAAACATGCTGGGCATGTGTGTTGGCATGCACCAAATTCCAAGAGAATAGGGGAGAAGGGATTGTGGCATAAACATGCCCTATTGGAGAGGGTGTGCTTCCTTGCTTTTTACGCTCTTTCTCTGGTGAGTGCAGACACCTGCTAGGAAATTCAAAACAATAAAAGCTTATTTATTTCTTCCTTGTGAGAGAGAGGGGAGACAGGTGTCCCCATCAGACTCCTGATACCATAATCCATCCCCAGTCACAAATACTCTTAGTCATGGGCTTGTATGTAAGTGCACAGCATGCTCATAAAAGTCCTAGGACATGAACACAGGGCCATTTCCATGTGGGTCCAGCTGCAACACCACTGCACCAACTGACCCCACACCTAGTCATGATTAGTTGTACTCGGGCTACTGCTGCTGCTACTATTATTAATACCACTACTACTTTCCTATGAAAAACCATGGGCTTAGTCATAAAGAAGAAAGAAGAGAATGAAATGAAGAGGAAAAAGGAAGCATAGAGCAAGTAAAGGAACATTAGGACAATGTAACCCCAGAGATGCTCAAGATGGATAGACTCCCTTCAGGTTGCTATTATAACAAGATAACAACAGGACCCCATGCCTGAGTCCTCAAGGCCACACAGCTTTGGAAGCACTGACTAAAGCAAACTCTGCTTATCTAGTCAGTCATAATTGTCATTTATATTCATGTCAGTCACTGTTCTAAACACGGGAGCATGAATTACTTTGGGAGAGTTTTCCAGAAGGATAGCACTTTCTAATATTTGCAAAGTTACCAGTATTTAAAGCTTAAAGCATTCATGTAAAGTGAGAATTTTTGTAAGACTCAACTGTTCACCATCTTTATGTTTTCTGTGCTTCTCCATCTTCTCCCAGCAACATAAAGACTTAGGTATCCTGCCATCAGAGGCACACTGAGTACAGGGAAGGGTGGAGCTAGAAAGGAGGAGCAAGTTGTTGGGTAACTTGGAATAGTTGTCAGTGTGGAAGCAGGTTAAACTGTAGAATCAAGTAAAAGTCTAGGTTGCTGATAAGGAAGACAAATTTGTTACTTTCAAAGAACAGAGAAAGTTCATGTGAAAGGACTCTAGTTACCAGAATAAAGAAGAGACCAATCAGCAGAGAAGGACTAACATGAGAAACACTTAGACTCATGTGGCTGTAATGTTGATTTTTTTTTTCCCACTGAAAATACATAATTTTCTATTTGTCACCTACAGAAAATAGGAAAATTATAGCAATAGCTTTTTCTCTCTTGGGCTTGCATATAAGCAAACATTTCTCAAACACTGACTCTTTGGAATGATTTTATTTATTTATTTATTTATTTGTTCTTCAGTTTGAACAGCATCAGCTCATCAGACGCAAAGCGATCAGGTGTCAAGAGCTCTGGTTCAGAAGGAAGTGCCCCAATCAACAATTCTGTCATCCCTGTTGACTATAAGAGCTTTAAAGCCACTTGGACCGAGGTGGTACACATCAATCGGGAGAGATGGAGGGCCAAGGTGCCCAAAGGTAATGTGTTACTGAGGAGAATCTCCCAGGAAACCTGTCTAGACCAGCTCAACACCCACTCATGAAACAAGAGATTGCCTTCCATGACCTATAGGTGTTGCAAGTGAAACATAGGTGCTCAGGGTGCATTTCAAATTATGAAATAGTAGGACCATCTTTTGATTTTCATTATAGCTACATTCAAAGCATGGTAAAATGCAACAGACATCTAAGCATCCTGGAGTCATGCCCTTTGTAAAATATGACTAAATTCCTTTTTAGTGTGAAGATTCCACAGGGGATGGGTATTACTATTTCTTGACCTCTGCTAGACCATCTTGTCATTCTCATTTCATGTCATATGGTACAACTGTGAGGCCTTTATTTCTTCTTTTACTTAAGCCCAGCCAATAGTCACCTTGACCATTATGTTGGAATATAAGGAACTTTAATTTTCTTCTGTGCATTTTAATCTTCCTTTCATTTTCATAATCTACCTTCACTCATTGCTCAAATCATAGTACTGATCTTCTGAAACTGATAACTTATAAGTAGATGGAAAATCCCTGAAGCAAGCACTATCAAAATTCAAATCAGAAAAGTCACGCTCTTGGTACTATAAACAGAAAAATACTATAAATCCATGCATTTTTTTAAAGTTTAAGCATTCATTCATTTGAACATGCATTTGTATTTATTGAACATGTACTGCGTGATCAGCACATACTACTAACAAGGTCATGCTCTTGGTACTATAAACAGAAAAAAACCTATAAATCCATGCATTTTTTGAAAGTTTAAATGTTCATTCATTTGAACATGCATTTGTATTTATTGAACATGTACTGCATGATCAGCACATACTACTAACAATATTTTAGTCTAGGTAGAAGAGCTATCCAGGAACACAAATCTGAGAGAAGGGGTTTGAAACTGTGATGACTGATTCCAGGGAGGAATGTGTGTGTGGTTTTTGAAGTTCAGTAAGGCTTCAACAAGAGTCAGTTCTTGCTATCATTTATTGCATGCCTATCATGAACCAGGCCCTATGCCTGATGCCATGGGCATCTGAGTAACAGACAGGCTTATCCTCAAAGTTTATAGTTTTGTGGCAGGGGAGAGGGAAAGGACATTACTAGTAGAGTTTCATTCAGTGAAAAAAAATAGTTCAGTCAAGGCCTTGCACTTGTCACCAGAATTCATCAGCCTTGAGCTACAGCCCTTCACAGCAGGCAAAAAGCTTTTATCCCAAAACATAGTACCTTTATTTTTATTCTCCCAATGTCAGCCCAACAGGGGAGAATCAGGGTGAGGATGGTAGTGGCCCATATTCTAACAGTCATGATCTCCCATAAATCAGTGGGAAGAGTCCTGCTTTTAAAGTGTAGGAGAGAATCAGCCTCCCTGTTGGAGTTATTCAAAGGCTAGCCTTTGTGGCTTGCCAACAAAGTCTTGTCCATGTGGTTCTTCATTCCAGGTAAGGCAAAGGGTTTTTATTTACGGTGCTTTGAGGGCATAATTGGACCCTTATCATTGCCAGACAGATGCTGCACCCTGAGCTATGGAAGAAGTCCGTGCCTCTTTCATATTTTAAATGTATCTTCTCACAGTCCATCCAAATGCTTTAAACATTTAAATCATCCCTTTTGGCAGATGTTGCAAATAGCAATGGTAGCTACTGCATCATGTAAAAAAAAAAAAAAAAAAAAAACCCTCACTTAGAATCAATTACACTCATTACACTTGAAAATCTAATTCCTGACAATACACAATTTAAAGAGGTACTTAAAAATAATTTGTTTGCGGTTATCTGGCTTACTAAAATTACTTTCTGAAACTAATCACCTGGGGAAGCATTAGAGGTTTCTTTTACAAGAGAAGACTGGCCCTGTAAAAAGGACAGGTCAATAAACAACTGATGATTTTAAAATGCTTTTAGGTATGATGCTAGAGATATACTTAGGCTATTTTGGAAGTATAAAAGGGCTTGTCCCTAACCCTGCTCAGGGAGTTTAGGAAGGTATGGCATTGTCAAGATTGAAGGACACCTAGGGTTGAGCCCTGAACAGTGTTGTATTTAGAAACAGAAATAAGGAGAAAAAAGATAGATAAATGCACAGAACCTGAGTTATGGGCATTTTGTGGGAAGATAATTTGCTTTTCAAAGCATGTGTCATTTAGTGGGCAAAGGGAGAATTGAATTCAAACTTATAAGGTGTTCTTTGGCAAACTCAGGTAGGTTCATTGAAATTCCATTTTGGGAATGATAACGCACATCGCAGAGTTGATGTGAAGAATAGAAATAATATGTGCAAAGCAAAACCGAGCCTGCACATGGTTAGTGCTTGATAGAGGATAGCTGTTATTTAAACAAATTGGAAATGAAGGTTGGAGGTTGGAATACAAAGTTAAGATGCAACTAGGAAAAATACCAACATGTAATTATATTTTATAGTATGTTCAGCCTCTGGGTTAATGTTCACTAGTTGACTGGTATTAATAAAAATCCAGGTTGCATCTATTTTTCCACTGGTAGTTTATTATTTGAAATTGTCTTATTCTTTTTTTTTTTTTTTTATTCTTAGAACACCCCAAAACACCTGCCCTCTGTGGGGCAATTGAACATATATTATTATTAAACATTGGAAATTGGATTGGATCTAAAGTCTTGGTTTTATTAACCAATCTGATTTACAAAACTGAAAGACCAGAAAAAAACAGTCATAGGAAAAATTAAAGAGCTATAAGTAATATAGCTCTTAGAGCTAAAGATCATTATTCCAAACCAAGGACATATGAGTGTAATGATTTTCAAGTCTAATCAGCATTGATCAATTCCCATTCCGAATTTAATGCTTTTTCAACATGTATTTTCTAGAGTAAGATTAACATGTGTCTACACTACAAATGTTGAAAGAGAAAAAGTAGTAGGTTGTCTGAAAAGTCATGACACATTTCTGCATAGGAAAATCGCAAAATACATCATGACTTTTCCAACACCCCAATATATTATAAAGAATAAAATAAATATTACTCATAACTTCTCCAACCATATATAACTATGGTTAAAGTAACTAACATAGCTCTTTATAATGTGCTTTTCTATGAGTAAGTAAAAATTTTCCCTATAAATTGTGAGCATAATAAAATATTGTCTTATATTTTCCTTTCTGTTTCTATCTTGAGTATTCTATCCTGATTCTGATTATTCTGACTTAAATGGCTACATTTTATAAAGTACCATAGTTGAACTGAATGCTATTGTTAGCATGTAAGTTGTCAATTCTTCCTTTTACACATAAAGTTGTTACGAACATACAAATTCATAAGTCTTTGAACCTGCTTCTGATTATTTATCTAGGATAATGTTTTATTAACTTTTTTTGAGAGGTTTTTACCATAGGGTGTGTGGACTCGCCAGACAGACAGAGAGAGACAGAGAGACAGAAAGCGAGAAATCATCCCCCAGGGGGGATGGCCACGCCACAATCCCTTCTCCTCTATTCTTCCCTCGGGATCTTGGGCAGACATGCACATGCCCCCGGTGTGAGTTTTAAGCCACCGGGTCTGGGACGCGAACCTCGGTCGACTACATGGGAGTCCAGCAACATAGCCATTACACTAACTGCTGGTCCCATAAGATAATGTTTTAGATGGAAAATTTCTCTGTGAAAATAGAGGAGAGCTTTAAAAATTATTGATATGCATTATCAAATTTCTCTCTGGACATTATTTTTTAACCAATTCTCTCTCCCAGTGAGAAGTATAGAAAGAGTGCTTATTTCTCTATATAATTTCCTGCTTCATCTTTCCCCATTAGCTTGTTTAAATTTTTATTATCAATTCATAGTAATTCTTTTTATTTTGGGGATTATTATAATTCAATTGTCAAAATATCTTTCCATTTTTTTCTCACCCCAGTTTGTCATATTGTTTTTAACTTTGCTTATGTCCTTGTTTGGTTTGTTTGTTTTTTAGAAAGATTTTTGCTACCGGGCACGTGTGCTCACCAGAGAGACAGAGAGACAGAAAGTAAAAAATCACCCCCTGAAGGCATGGTCATGCTACAATCCCTTCTCCTCTGTTTTCATCTCAGGATTTTGGGCGCACACACACACACACGTGTACCTAGCATGACTTTCAAGCCTTCAGGTCTGGGACTCAAATGTGTTCAGCCATATGAGATTCCAGTGACAATACCATTATGCCATCTGCTGGTCTCAACACATGGTCTTTTTATATATGTCCTGTTTTTATTTTACTAATGATTATCTTTGGGCTTTTTCTTTAATTATAAGCCTTTCTACCTGTAAATGTGGACTACATAGTGATACTATTTTTCAAATGCTGAGAAATTTAGTGAATTTTTACTTACCTCCTCCATCACAACTCAGCTTTTTTTCTTTTAATTTTTATTGTAATTTATGATTTACATATAAGCATTATACATCTTTGCAGGACACAGAATGGTCTTTTAATACATGTATATGGTTTGTAATAAACAAACAGAAGATATAAACATATTCATTACCTTCAACATTTAACATTATATTATGTTGTGAACATTTGAAACTTGCACCAGTGGTTATTCTGCAAGTATGTGCTGAATTGTCTGTGATGTTCTTTACTGTGAGATAAAGTTCTAAATAAAAACATATTCAAACATTTGTCCACAGATGTTTATATATTAGCTGAACTTACTAATGAAAGTACTTAGAGCAATTAAGATATTTTGTTAACCAATAAAATGGGGGAGAAAAAAAAGGAATGGAAAGCAACTGCAGATACAAGAAATAGAGTGGGAGGAGGGTGGGATATCACAGAAGGTGAGAAATGGGGGCAGGGAAATATATATATATATACACACACACACACATATGAAACAAGAAATGGAAAATTATTTATGATGATAACATGTATGACTAAGACACTATACAGTATATTATGGATGGGAATCTGCCTCTTGTATGCTGTGATGATATTCAGTGAATGAATGCAGAATAAATAATAATTAATAAAAA